TTTGGTTTGGTAGTATCGGAAGAGGTCTTGGGTGAATTTCATCGTGTGGGTGGGTTAGTTGAAAGTTAGAAGTTCGAGGAGAACTAGAGGACGAGATGCTCGATGGTGTTGGTTTGTTGGGTTCTGAGAGTCTGAGGGAGGGATACTAGTAGGCATTTATACGTCCAAGCATCGAGGGCGGGTAAACGGATATTAGGGATATCGACACGTCTTTTCCCTCTTCGAGAGCTCGGAAGTGTACCGTTGAGTGAGTTGGAGTCAGCACAGGTGGCGTTTCGGAAGCTTACCGAGGGGGATACGGATAATAGCTGAATTCGGAATAATAGGTCAATCGTTCGATTCGGTCTTTCATTTGATGACCTTGCTAGAATAATGAACAACGAAGGGTGACGAGACGAAAACGTGTGTAATGAATTGATATCGACCCGGGAAACAAGAAACCTGTAACGAGTCGTGCCGTATTTGAATCATGGTCATGGATCAAACTTAACTTACCAGTCAGCGTCATCAGTGGCTGGGGCTCTCAGACGAGTAAACCTACTTACCCAGTCGTGAAGAGGGGAGGTTACGCCCGGGAGCGTGTTTTCAAGTTCGTCCTGAGAATAACAAGACTTACAAGTTACGAGGGGGGGGGGGCAAACATCCATGGAGAGAAAACGTTGACGGGCCTTGGCCGGTGGCCAGCGGTATAAAGGTGATCTTGTACAGAGACGAGAACCTGGGGAAAGGCGCATCGCCTCTGTCACTGAATCCCAAAGCTAGAACTAGTCGAGGTGAGTGGTACTCACGATCGACTGCATCTTGGCCGCCCCTCAGCTCGTAACTCGTTCCCTACAGACCAAAAATCAAAACTTTGCACGAGTGGCAAATGTGTTTCGCGTCGAAGCCTGATCCCAGTAAGGATAAATCACTTGGCTTGTCAAGGAGACACGGTTGGTTTGGTAGTGGTTCCAACAACTCTTTGTGAAAAAACTTCATATCGAGATCCAATGTTCGAGTATTGAGAGAACTACCGGGCTAGTAGTAAATCTGGGATGTTAGTGTGACTTAAGAGGTCGACAAAAAAGTACTGACAACCCGATTCAATATGTTCGGGATGGCTATGGTACTGCTGGGTAGTGGGATTGAGGGTGTGTCTCGTGAGTCTTCAGCATCGCGAACAACAACAGTTCACAGGATTCTTCGACAGACGACGGAAGCCTACCGGTGCCTGGAGTTACAATAGAGTCAGCCTTTCCAACTAAGATGGCCGCACGCGAACATCGAAAGGTCCAATTGACCTACCCTCAACATGCCTCGGACGAATAAATTACGGGTTTTCAGGACTTTCCGACGCATCTAGTCTTGACACCTGCCATATATTACTTCAACCACCCATCTTCAACTCCCCTGGGCCCTCAGAGTTTAAGATAGGTACTTCTCAACAACCTCTTTCACCTCCCCATCAACACTCCCAACAACCCCTAAAATCTCTTCCCACAACTTCCTCTCCAACTTCTTCCCCCCCTCCCCAAGCAAAAAATCACTACACTCCGAAATTTCATTGTACATCATAAAACTCCCTCTTATCTGGTCTTCTCTATCCCGTTCTCCGATGGCAGCGTATAAAAGTTGTCGGCTTCCTTCTTCTGAAGTGTACGCCAACGTCTTGCGGGCCGGGGTGCCTGACGAAGGGAAGTTGCGTCTGAGCTCGCTGTCGCAGAATCCGGGTGCGACGGAGCAGCATGTTACGGTGGGGAGGTGGGGTTGGAGAGCGCGTATGAAGGATTGTGCTAGGACTAGGCTCCGATCGTGATTCAGAGGGGGGGAGGAAAACCAACGATTGAGTACGTAGAAACTCACGTTTAGATTCACCGTATCGTTTTAGCGAGGTGCCACTAAGGAGAATGGGTGAGTAGTAAGTACCTTTCAACGAAGAAACCAAGTACAAGTTGCTCACTCTTCCGCACTTTCACGGTCTTCATTGACAACTCTCAACGTATTCGGCGCATCGATCGCCTCTGTCGAAATTGTCTGCAGAAAATGCGCAGCACTCGACACGTATACAATCCTCGGTACTGTCTCCGGGTGTTTCCTCGCCGTTTCGATCAACTTGGGTAGATGGAGGATGATACGGAGGGCGGGACTGAGGAGGTTGATCTGCAAGCTATGGAGAGAAAAAATCGGAATGACGATATTATGAGCGTAGGTGGCAACGTAGTACGTACGTATTCTCCCATCCATCTCGCGTTCGTTCGTACCCACCCACAGCAACTCCAGCGTTTTCGACGAGAACATCCAACCGCTCGAGAGCATCGATTTTTTCTTTAACCCTAAGCACGGATTCGAACGATCCAAGGTCCGAGGTCCAAAATTCAATAGCTCCGTCGCCAGTGAGTCCTGTTTCTGCTTTCACTCCTAACATCACAAGGGAGGGTAAACGGTAAACGAAACCACCCCGAGAAGAAAAAGAAGAAGAAACCACCTACGTTCCACAGCCTCCCTCCCCCTCTCCTCATTCCTACACACCAAAATCAGCTTCCCCGGATCTCGAAGGGGCAAAGTGTTTCGCAGCTTCGAAACCTAATCCGGTGTTGGCGCCAGTGATGATGATGGTTTGGTTTGTGAGCGGGACGCCTTGGATGGCAGGGGGCATGCCTTTGGATTGGTAGTGGTTGAACATTTCTTGTGTGAATTTCATGGTGTAGGTGTAAGTCACGGTTTTGTGGCCAGTCCAGAGGCTGATTTATATACCACAAAATCGTTTGAATGTACACGAGACTAGGAGTCAGCAAGTAAAGAACAGGTTTTTTGTTTGACGAGAGGTTGAGGTCAGCACGGAAATGAAAAATTCGGAAGTCTACCGACGCTGTATATTTGGAACTTGGAAGGTAGCATTCAAAATTTGTCCTAAAAATAACAAGACTTACCAGGGGCGGTGTGTAGAAACATACATGAATCGTGACAAAGAGGAGATATTGACGGGGTACGCGGGTTGATTCGATTGGCCAGCGGTATAGAGGTTGCTTTGAGAGTAAGAAGCTAGCGAAAAATGCATCGCCTCGGGGAGATCTAACCCAGGGAGGTTTAGAGGCGCATAGAAACAAGTCTCCCCAAGATGCCCCTTGTGGAGGTTCGAAGTAAAGACTCAAGATGATGCCGGTCCGAAAATTGGGGGCTTCCGGGGGTGTTGAGGGCAGGCCAGTTTGATTTCCACGCTCTCTTCACCTCCATTTGCTTAAATTCTGGGTTTTATCACGATGCAGTATGTATACAAACAATCAACAACTGAAACCTTTAGAATTGAACTATAACCATCAAGAAAGGTACTTCTCAACAACCTCTTTCACCCTCCCATCGCCACCTGCAACTACCTCCAAGATCTCCTTCCACAATTTCGCCTCCAACTTCTTCCCCTCATCCCCGAGCAAGAAATCGCTACACTCCGAAATCTCACTATAATTCAAATAACCTCCCCTCACCTGATCTTCCTTGTCTCGTTCCCCGATAGCTGCATAGAGAAGCTGCCGGCTCCCTTCTTCAGAAGTGTACGCAGACTCCTCCTTCATTTTCCGAATAGTTTCAGCTCTTTCACCGGTAACGTGCCGGGTCAAGTCGCTCTCACAGAACCCTGGATTGACGGAGCAGCATGTCACGGTGGGGAGGTGAGTTTGAAGGGCGCGCATGAAGCTTTGTGCGAGTACTATTCGTAGGAAGTAGGGTCAATCGTCTGAAAAATCTAAAGAGAATGTGGAAACTGACGCTTGGACTCGGCATATCGTTTGCTCACTCCTCTAAATAGTCGGGTTAGATCGATCGAGTCGATCAAAGAAAAGGTGATTCTCACTCTTTCACACCCTCAAGATCGTCGTTAATGACTTTTAGCGTGTTCGACGCGTCGATCACCTCTGGAGAAACCGTTTGCATGTAATGTGCACCACTGGTCACGTATACGATTCTGGGGACCGTATCAGAGTACTTCTTCGCCGTTTCAACGAGCTTTGGAAGATGGAGAATGATGCGGAGGGCAGTGCTGAGGACGTTGGCCTGCAAGCTAACCACGGGAGTCGATATTTATCAATAATATCCCAGAAAATCGGAAAGCTGACGTGGTCTCCCATCCATCCTTCGTCACTTCATGCGTGTTCAAGGCGACGCCAGCATTTTCGACGAGGATGTCCAGCCTGTCGAGCTGGTCGATCTTGTCCCTGACGGACTTTACGGATTCGAACGATGAAAGGTCTGAAGTCCATAATTCGACGTTTTCGAAGCCGGTAGCGGCCTTGAGTCCTAAGGAATGCGAGGAGATTATCAAATCACCAAAACTAGAGCTAGTCGAGGTGGATGATACTCACGATTGATCGCATCTTGGCCCCTCTGCTGGGTTCTACAGACCAAAATTAACTTTGCGGGTCCACGAGTGGCAAAGTGCTTTGCGGCTTCGAAGCCTAATCCGGTGTTGGCACCAGTGAGGATGACCACTTGGTCTGTCAAGGAGACGCCCTCAACGGCGGGGGGCATGCCCTTGGTTTGGTAGTGGCGCCACAACTCTTCCGAGAACTTCATACCAATGTTCAAGTATTGGGAGAATTACTGGGCTGCTTTGATAGCTAGTAGTAGAAGGTGGTAGCAAAACTGGGATGTTAGAGTGAGTGGCTTTCAAGGTCGACGAAATATCCAAGATATACTGAGAGCCCGGCTAAATCGATTCATCAGGTTCGGGATGGTACCGCTGGGATTGAGGGTAGTCTCGTCAGCACCGCGAGCGACAACAGCCAACAGTAATACTCGACAGAGTGAGCTTCACCGGAAGCTTACCGGTGCCTGAGCGGCAGAGTCGCGGTAGAGTCAGCCTTTCCCACAAATTTGTCGCCAAACCAAACTATACATAGCATGTACCGCGACACCCGAAAATCGAGCGAGCTATTCAGGTCCTCCCATCTTTCCAATTATATGTGTTTTTCTCTTTCGAAATGATTTTCCGCCTGTGTGGCCCAATCAAATAGACGGCAAAAACCATTAGCCCACCGCGAGGGTCGAACTCGCAGCCTTCAGATACTGGTACACCGCCGTCGACGATAAGAGTCTGACGCTCTATCCGATTGAGCTAGGCGGGCGATATTTAGTGGTACACTTCATAAAGCTATGAAGATCGAGCCAATGACGACGAGTCAGAGTCCCTGGTCTACTGACACGGATATCTATCGACCTGTTCTAGCATCTTCCAAAACCATATCAGCACACTTCTCCGCCACAGCCACCGTCACCGCAGCAAGGTGAGCACTCGGACACGAGGGGAAAATGCTCGCATCTGCAATCCTCAATCCCTTGATCCCGTACACCCTCAGTCTTCCATCTACGACGCCACCTTCTTCTTCTGGGGCCATACGACAAGTCGATGAGTAGTGATAGAACGAGACGCACTCCTTCTCCAGGAAGGCGTCTAGCTCGGTATCTGTTAAGCCATCAGGGGTATGGATGCCATCGATTGAGTACCCTTGTTCTCTCATTTGAGCTATGAGCTGGTAGGTGAATCGGATTCCTTTGCGGAACAGAGCACGATCCCGCTCGTCGGATAGGTAGTTTGGGTCGATCACAACAGAGGCGAAAGGGTCAGAAGATGCCAGGCGTACCGTCCCTGAGGAGTATGGGCGTAGCGTGACCGAATACAGAGTGAAACCACCGTTTTTGGGTTTGACGTAGGCACCATCTGCTGTTGAAATCTGGGTGATGACAAGATTTCACGAGGTCAATGTGATATCAATAGCAGACGCATGAAATGAGGTTACTTACCGGCAGAAACTCGAGGTCAGGGAGGTTTCTCGGGAGTTTCGGGTCCATGTCAGCTTTGGAGTAAGAAGAAACGCGGTTGTCTTCATCCATGAGCTTTGATTGGAGGAAGATTATACCATCCATTGTTGAGGCATTGATGAAGAAGCCGATGCCAAACAGGAAGTATAGTATGAGTTCTTTGATGAGCGTGATTATGCTGGCTTGGATACTCAATATCGAATCTCGAAGCGGGATATGGTACTGGACAGGAACAGAAAGATGGTCTTGCTAAAAGACGACATGAATTCAGCTTCTAGCACAAGCACAGAAGAGCACAACAAACATACGAGATTTGAGCCGACGCCAGACATATTCTTCTTAACGGGAATCCCATGCTGTTTGAGGTGCTTCTCGGGGCCAATGCCACTGTTTTTCCAAAGGAGATCAGATTGAAGTATGTTCTCTGCGACTGGGGCTTAGACGCTAACCTCAAGAGCAACGTCTGCGGGGAGCTTATGGCTCCCCCGGAGAGTATAACCTCCCTGTTAGCTTTAATGAGCCTCGTTGGACCAGTAGCATCGCTCTTCTGAATCCAAACGCCCTCTACAGATAGGCTCTTCCCGTCTTCTTTAATTTCGAGGCGATGAACGGTAGAATGCAGGGAAATGTGAAGATGGTCCGACCGTGTCTTCACTAAATCCTTAGGAAGGAATGCCGCCGAAACCGCGCCACGGTTACCGGTGCTATCAACGGACAAGCGTAGCCTTCCGTAGCCATGAGCATGTTGATATGGAGAGCTGATATCCTCAACGTAGGGAAGTCCAAGGGCCGAAGTCGCTCTGATGATACTAAATGCCTGAATAAGTCGAATGGCCAATCATAATCACAAGCTTCAAAGTCTTACTGTCCAGTGTGCCCCCAAACAGCAGGAAGAGCACGATTCGGCCATTCACCTGAAAAGAATCTGCGTCAGCAACAGTTCAAGAAACAGAGCCCAAAGTCTCACTCACCTGTGCTCGCATGGTAATGTTTCCCTTCCAACGTCTGATCCAGATTTTTCTCTGACCGAAGGAAGTACTTCTCCATATACTCGTACTTCCAATGTTCTACCCCACTACTCTGCGCCCATGCGTTGTATTCCGCCGGCAATCCTCGCGTGTATATCGTACCGTTGATCCTTGTCGTACCCCCCAGGGCATTGCCTCCTATTATCTCGACTTCACGACCACCGAGGTGTGTTTGGGGAACAGTCTTCCATATACGCGATCTTGATTTGTCCGAGGCGAAATGTGCTGAAAGAAGAGGGATTCGGGCTTGCCATCCTTCGCCTAATCCTCCGCGTTCAACGAGAAGAACAGTAACATTAGGATCTTGCGAAAGCCGATTCGCTAGGACGCAACCAGCGGTTCCTCCACCTAGCGAGCGAGATGTGTTTTTAGTGGAATATACAATTGATTTGGTCGATACTACGCACCGACGATGATATAGTCGTAGCTTTCTCGAAGATCACCTAGTGCCGTGGTTGGCAAAGACATGGTATTTGTGTTGAGACTCTTGGGCCGAACGCGTTACATATGGGCGAAAAATTATATGAGCGCTTACTAACTTTAAGCGACATGCGCTGTTCCTGTTTCACGAGGCCGGGCGGACCGAGCCCAGAAATCAAAACACGTACCCACGCACGGCCGCAGTCCCAGGGTCATATAAATTCAGATATGCAGGGAGACTCCAAGCGTTGTCCAAACCAGCGCACAACCAGAAGACCTTATTAAGAGGGACACAATTCGCATCCGAAGACGAGAATGCGTGGGCCTTTTGAATCTGACGCCAGCTCCCAGAGAAGTTGTTGCGATGGCTTCAGGCCAACACCTAAGGAAGGTGTTCGGTGCATTTTCAAATTTGCCGAGAGTGTGGAATGGCTCTTGGTCGTAGTTCGGCAATGGTGGGCACGGGGAGAGGGGAAGGTCTCGTCAAGGCCTCAACCTCCAGCCGTCTACTTGACGTATGACAAGGAACTTGGCCAAAGGGACCCCATGAAGAACCGTGGCCCTCTGAGCCGCGGCGATACCAACGCCCGAAGGATAGGGTGTGGGGAGCGTCGTAAACTGACTGAGTTCTGAGTTCAACGCGGCATGAAATTCACCGAGAACAGACTGGTAACGAACCATATATACCTAGGAAAGGTCCGCTTCAGTTATACTAGTTCCTCTTGTTACAAACCTATATCCCACTTTTGCCGTACCTTGACCAAATATTGACCAGATAACCACAACAGGGAAGCCCGGGAAAGTATTTCAGATAACGGTATGTCAGCGCTGGGTCCAGAGAATGTCTTGCACACAGGTTCATGGTGTGCATTTCGAGATCCCAAGACTAAAGGCACACGAGAGAATAACCTTCCATATCGGAGTCTAGGGCGTGCTTACCTCTGAAACAGGACAGCTGTGGGTGGTACTTCCGACAGCTCTTTTATGGAGACAAGAGCATTGTGTGGGACTGTCAACCGCCGTGTGTTCGAGTGATTTGATGCAAGGGCTCTCAAAGTGCCCCGTACTCTGTGCCGTCGAGGAAGTCAGATGCTATATGTAGGATTCTAAATGTCAACTTACAAGATTGAAGCTTTGGAACTTGAAGGACGGATCAGTGCCACCGGCCCTGATCCCACTGTCGATTGTTGACATATCACTGAGAAACCAACTGACGGGAGTTTCCAGTGCAAATGGCTCACTTATACCTGTGTCTGGTAAAACAGCCTCCAAGCCTAGCACCTCATTATGGGGAACCTTCAGTCAATTCCGAGAACAACAAAACCCGTGATGGTCTACATACCCAACCCACATCGAATTCGTCAGGTTGATATCGTTGATCTGGTCTCGGAAGACTGGTGATCGTCTGGGAAGTTGTCGAGCTGTGCTCCCATCGACTGTTCGACCGTCCTGCACGCCATGATCCATCCGTGATCCACCTGGTAATTGGCGATTGAGAGCGAAATTAACCTCTTTGAGCCCCTCTTCGACAACATGGCGTCAGCAGATCAATCAAAGCGTTGATGGTTGATCCAAGGGCCGCTGACGATCAACCTATTGTACATACCTTTCCATCCACCAATTTCCGATTGTTCCGACGCTGACTCCGATCCGGGTATAGCGTCAAACATTCAACTACACGCATAGGTGTGTTCGGGGGAAGAGTGGAAGCTGCCAAGGTTTGTATTCCTCGGCGATCTTGCATGGCCAATCAATCTTTGGAGATACCGCAATGCAGTCAATCTCGGAACCGATGCTCAAGCGCTCATGTCTCGCGAACAAGGAAGGTCTGAACTTTGAAGCTGGAGTGGAGCCGGTCCTCGAATTAGATCCACCGAACGCAGCAACTATTCATGCACTATCACCAGACGAACCCAGATGGAGATTCGAGAATCTTCATTAGGATCGTATCTGTGGATTATAAGATTTTCCAAACGTAGCAAATGGCGAGTGTTTCCAAACTTGCTCTTGTTCCATGAATGTTCATCTGACCGAGTTCAAGCCTTCGGGGCCTAAGGAACCATTGACGCGAACCGAGAGCTTTGACCAACACCATAGAGAGGTTGAAACACTGTATTTGACCCCAGACAGCCAAGACGAGTCCAAATAGCTGGTAGTAAACGCATGAGAGCACATTTAAAAAACAGTTCAAGAGTCAGCTTCCGATAGAGGCCATTGAGGGAGTAGGACTGGTGTGGTGAGATAATAATATCAGATAATGCGGACTCGTAATTGATGACCATGAGCAAGCTCATTGAGGTGGCTGTGACCCCCTCCTCCCACAATGACGACGAACGCTTTCCTTGACCCGAGCTCCTTCGGGGTAAGAAATCCTATTTGCCGGCAGACTTTACAAAACTACCGACACCTCTTTCTTTTCCAGGGCAAAATATATTTGCCACTAGCTTAGAGCAATGCAATGGGTTCAGATACTCGAAAAAGCTGTTCAAAATTTAATTATCCCAACCCGTACGCTACCGATTCCTTTGTGCTCAATTTAACCCATTCAAGTGTTCTCACTCATAGACATCTATGACTGCGAGATATGTGATGACAATGAATCGAAGTTCCTTAATTGGGAAGATTGGTATGAAAGGCCGCTTCAGGTGCGTCCATCGTATACATTCCGTCTCTATAACCTTCTGACCGGTTGAATGCAGATTCAGAATAGACTGAATAAGCGGCTTGCTCTCAAACGAAAGAGGGAGCTTCAAAACCTCACGAACCATGGGAAGAAATCTCAACACTCACCGCTTCCTCACCCGCGGTCAATTGCAGTGCTTCATCTGGACCAAAACAGACGGCTGTCGCTGAGGAGG